CAATTAAGGTGTTAAATGAGCCCTAAGGGTCTTATAGTCAGCTGTGCATTTTGAGGGATTGTCTTTTACATTGTATAAGGCTTTTTATTGCACTGCGTGTTCATTTCTATATCTCCTGAGGGTAAATAGTCCCCACCCTGCCCTCTCCATGGGGTCAGAGGTCACTGGTGGTTGGGATTCCGTGTATCGCTCAAAGACAGGAGTTACAAGCAGGTTAGACGCTTGAATTTGATTCTCCTGCTTCAAGTCCTCTGTCTACGATGTCTTAAAATTCAAATTAAAGCATCAAAATGTAAAAGTGAAAACATGAATGTGAGAGAAAAGGCAACATATCAGACAGCAAACAGACAGACAGGCAGCGTTAAGGGTGAAGCAGTTAATGGCAGAATCAGAAAGAGGACACTTTTAATCAGCTGTGTTATTTTTTCAAACTCTCTAAAACAACCTTTTCCTCTTAAAAAATCATCACAGGATGAAATCATACAAGATGCCAAGTAGTTGTACTAATACGGAGGCAAACTATTGCATTTAAAAAGCCCTCATGAAGGTCTGGAAGTTCAATTGGAGGATATACAAGTACTTCCTTAGCTGGAAAATAGTATTTACCCCAGCTACTCAGATATAGTAAATGTTACAGAGTAAAGGAGCAAAACCATGAAGCAAGTAGGTTGCTGTAATTTAATCTCTAAAGCATTTTGACTGGCAGAAAAATGAGCAGCAACTTACTCTCAGAATTCATCAGCTATGCAAAGGTTTTTGAGCACAGCAGGATTTCCAAATAATAGCTGGTTTCTGTCCCAAGAGGTTTATAATGTCAAGAAATTACCCAATGTACAGTGGTGATTTCCCACCTTGCCTACGGTATAAAGGAGCCCCAATAGGGTTTTTTAAGAGGATTCATCCCTGGACCACCGAGACTGCTTTGCTTTGCTGAGCTATGGTTTAGATATTAAATGCCTTACCTCTCTAGCCAAGGTCTGGTTATTCATAACGTGTGAGAATGAGATACCAAAGGCAACTTCTAGTAATTTTGCACCCAAAAAGGGTTAGCGTAGCTCTACCAGCTCCCGCATTCACCCTAAACACACATATGAATCAGTATCTGGCTTGTTGCAATATAAAGCAGCAGGATTCTGTTCCTCTATATTATTGATAACCGATGCTTTAAAGGATCGTTTAAAGTTCAAAAATCCAAAATACAATATGTAATTTCTTTACACACATCTGGAAAATGTGACAACATTTGGGATTTATGTGCAGTCAAACAACGGCAGGCGATCGTACCAGAGCATTGCCATGTGAAGAGTGGAGAGTGTGAATGCCTGGGTGCACAGATGTGGAATGCCTGTTGCTCATGTTTATTGAGGGGTCTGTTGGAGGTGTGTTGAGGGGGGGAAGATCAGCTGCTGTAGTGTTTGGTTGGAATAAAACCTGCAGACTTGGTGGTTCACATGACCGTAAACAACTAGACTAATGGATCAATTCCTGAGCCCCAGTTTATCCGTCCTTTTTGGCACACATGTAGACAGAATTTAAATATTATTCTCTGTCTTTGGCTCATAGTCTTCCTCATAGAGACATGGTACTATCTGTACTATGTCTCTGTGACATTACACGGCCGTTACTACAGCTATATGTGGAAGATTTCATACGTATGAAAACCTGCCTCCTTATTTTGGGGAAGCAAGAACATGTGTAGTGCTGACGCAATGTAATTTGCACCATCTAGCATGTAGGAAATCATGCCTGTAATGAACAGTGGTGTGAAACAAAGCGACCACTTCTGCTTCCCCCCTGCACAGGAAGAGTCAACATAACAGGTTTGTTGTAATCACTTCTGTTATTGAAATTACATATATGACACACTGACAGAGACGGTATCAGAGGCAGTATTGTCGTTGAGTGAGTGAGCACTAGATATTGTGCTTATTTGCACATGGGTTCAAAGCGTGGCTACTTGACATGTTGAGTAATGGGTGTGGTGAATAATATAGTGCGCACATACAAAATTCTGAAGTGAATTTGCCTGAATCACTTAATGCAAAATAATGTGTGCCAGCAGTAATTATTGGTGTATTTCCACTGTTACCGCACTGTCCTGTTTTTGTTCTTTAGTTTGAGCAGAACAGTGACAACTTGTCTCAGTTAAACCAGATCCTGTTAGGAAAGATGTTTTAATCCTCCTTATACTGGGGGTTATTCTCTATCTGACAACTGCAGGCGTTCAGTTGTGCGTTTATCGCCCTTAAAGAATGTAATGAATCAATATTGAATATCTGTCAGCCGCCTCACTGCATCTGCTCCGTCAGTTGTCACTTCCTTCACCCGCTGAAGAAACACAAGTTTCACAGCTCTTATTTCCTTGCGCAACATTTTCTCTTAACATACAGCCATAGTACACGGTGCCTGAAATACTTTTTCCTGTGCATGCTGTGGTTCATTTATTGGCTGTTGCGAGATATAACATTTTGTCGATGTGTTGCTTTTTTTTTTATTAAACATCTCTAAGAGTCTTTGCTGTAGTGTGCAGAGCGTTGTGCTTTTTTGAAGTATAGATGTGGTCGGGGCATCTGACCAGCTGAGCGGGGTATCAACTGTGTGCTGACTGCTGCTGGTTGGGTGTTTTAATTAGGACAGAGAGCATTTGTCTTGTTGTTTTTCTTCAGACTTGCCTTGTGGCTCAGCCGTCTGCATTATGATTGATTCTTCCTGACCACAGATACACAAACTGTGGTAATTGTTTATGTTTTAAGACGTTGCTCTGCTTTTCTGAGGAAAACATGCATTAACACATCTGATGTGTCAATTGTGACTTTCACAATTCCTTACGTATTTGGAGATTAGTGATATTGTGTAAAGATGAACTGATCTGTTTTTACAGAAACACTTCCGAAACAGTTCCAGAGTAACCTTGATAACCAGGATGTTTGTGGGTGTCTCTCATCATGTATTCATGACTATGTAAAAAATAAGATATGGAAAACGTCAATTTTCCTGTGAATTGAAGCAGAACTTGATTTCACTCTCCAGCCTTTTGGAGTGACCTTGAAACTGACGTATACTGTTTATGCTGCAGAACATGTCTACTCCCTAATTACACTATTATACTTATGAAATGTTGGTATGACAGAGGAGAAAAACAACCCTCTTAGCCTGGCCTCCTGAGAAAATAATGATTCCTTACGGTTATATCCTCATTGCAGTGCGATGCAGGTGAGCATGCCTGAATGTGTAGTTGTAACTGTCTTGAGGAGCTGCTGACTCAAAAACCTTTGTGAAACGTTGGAGGGACATTTTAGGGTTTTATGAGCCTGATGAGACTTTTTGCACTAATACAAATGTGATTTAAACATTGAATACTATTTAAACCTTTATAGTTTTTTTGGATGTGGTCAGTTGTAATAATGGCAAAGACAATGATAGATGAGACAAGTTTCACTTAGGTCCCTGTAGAATAATCACATGTGAAAGACGTGATAGGGGAAACAAAGGTAGAAAATACTTGTGGAGTCTTCTGACAATATTCTTTTAAAGTATATCAGTTTACATCTCACTGAATATTGCTGCAACATGATGTCTTTCAGCAACCTAAAACCTAAATATCAGTACAGGGTGGTAATAGTAATAGTGTAAATAGTGACACAAATCAAACCTATCATTCATGCATTCATTCAGTGTATAAGTGCAATGCAAAACCTGAAGTTTCTGAAAGTACAAGATCAGAGCAGGTGGTGGTTACAGACGACTCTGCGTGTATTAGTCAGCGTAGCTGAATGAGTGGTGGCATACAGTCACCACAGCCTCCTGTCATGACTCGTTCTTCAGCATGTCCAGCACCTGCACCCGAAAATTATTTCCCCACATGCTGTTGACTTGGTGGTGTGCAGCTCTTATCTCGCCCTGACTGATCTGAGACCTCCCCAAACCCAGACTTCGTAACATTTAGAAAAAGAGTACACGGCGAGTGGGCAGGATAAACTGTTGCTCACTGTTCTAATAGTTGACAGTAGGGAACAGAAATTATTGATACCAGAATACCAGAAGGTCGTTTCTTATAACAGAGACTGCTTTGCATACCTGAGCACTTTTGGGAACAGGTATGTAGGAGAGGCATTACCGCCCACAGAAGTCGCAGAAAAACTCCCCACTGTCTCTTACTTGCAATAAAACATTTTAATGAGGGGAAAAACACACCAGTCATACCTGTGCAAAACCTCCACTTCTGATTATTAATTATTTGTGTTTTAACAAACTTGAGACAATGACATTGATCATTTACGCTGGTGGGCTGAAATTCATCTGGTCTCAACCAGGTGAAGAAAGTGACGGTTCTTCCTGTGATTTCACTTCCTCTTGATGTTGAGGCTAAAACATTTTGTGCTGTCTGGTCTGTTTGAGTAAATCTGCACATGTTGCACAACGAATATAAACTCAGGCTCTCTGTACAGTATTTATGCTTCACATGGATTTCATACTGAAATAGGGCATTTTCTTGACTTATGATTTGAGTTGACAGGGTGTCGCTGTAGTCATTGCTGTAGTTTTCTGCTCTTCTGCAACACAAACGTTTTTAGAAAATTTCAGTCAGGCTCCTGAAAGGTGAAGATGTTCCTCAAATAATACATTGGACTTGTTTTATGCCCCATCATCCATTAACATTTTTTATCTCTTAAACTCTTTGTATGATAAGGGGGTTGCAAAACAGGGGAACAAATACCATGTGCAATAGCAACAACAAATTGCAACATGCACAAAATAAGCCTGTGGTTTTTGACTCATCAGACCAGTATCAAATCAGAAAGCGTTAAAGATGTCCAAGCCAATGAACGGAAAGTTTTAAAAATAGAGACATATTTGACTGATTCGATGCTTTGGGGGAAGTTGTTTTTGTTTCATGGCCACAACAAAAAGCGTCTACCCTTGCCCTTCAACTAAAGGCACTGATGCCAACAGTCAGTGGGGAAGTAGCAGTCTGACACTTTTTTTTCTCTCTCCCTTAGGTCTTTGTAGTCTGTCAGCAAACTCTTGTACTCCTACCTTTGCATCCGCTACTCGAACGCTCTGCTGCTGGCTTTGGTTTCCCCCCAACTGCAGGAAAAACCATTGAGACAAGAGAGAGGCCTCTGTCTCAGATCTGCAGCTGACCACTGACTGCATGTCTCAGAGCTCTGACCGACCCCCCTCCTCTTCCTCCTCCTCCTCCTTTCACTTCTCCTCAAGGACCCACATTTTCACACAATCGTAACCTTCAAACCTCCAGCCAGCTGCTAGCTGCTTCACCACAGACACGGTTGGCTATTTCCCTGCCTGGGCAGAAGGATCAACCATCGTTCCCCCGATTGGTGCTCCGTCAGCGGGGGAGGGAGGGGAAGGAAAGGCAGCTGAACGCCGCCCTGGAGATGAAGCTGCAGGCCGTCATGGAGAACCTGCACAGGCAGCAGAGGGCCAAGCTACTGATGGAGCAGCAGCTACAGCAGCAAGCTGCCGCCCAACATACTCAGATCCGCACAGGTGGAGGAGGAGGGGACGAGCCCATGGGGAGCCCGGCCCCTGAAACGGAGCAGGCCCAGATGGCAGCGCTGGCGGCCATGCGTGCTGTAGCCGCCGGACTGCAGAGGGTGTCGGACAGCCCAATGTCAGAGCGCAGCAGCGGTGGCGAGGACGATGGTGACGATGATGACAATGATGAAGGGGAGGAGCATTACAAGGACATGATGGGGTCAGATGAGGAGGAGCAGATGTAAGTACTGAGTTTCTTTGGTCAGGTTGCTTTAAAAACACATAATCTGTGCGAGCGGTGGTCTTCCTCGCCGCATGTTTTAAACAACATTCTGTTTTTGATGCACAGCAAACAGAAATGGGACGAGGAAGACTTTGAAGGTGAGATGGAAGAAGACTTTGACGACGACCTGGCGGAGGAGGGTCTGCCGACGGGCCATGGCGCAGTGGCTCCAGGGAAGGGCATCCTCCTGTTGCCCCACCGTCAACTCCACCCCCACTCCCAGCTGCTGAAGGCCCGTCCTAGTGTCGACCAGGAGCCCCGCGTAGCCATCCTGCCTCCCCACGCCACACACAGCCATCTGGGCGGGCAGGACCATGGAGAATGGACCTACGAGGAGCAGTTCAGACAGGTAGGATGTTTTCATATACCTCCTGCTACTGTCACCTAACTAGAGGAGGGACAATTACATGTAAATAAACATTGTTACTGGACATTCAGTCATTACAAAGTTTGCATGAAAGTGGATTATGTCATTATCTGCTTAAAATATCCTAAAGTCAGCTACTGTAGCAGTCTGAGGATGTTCATAAATCTAAAATGTTGGTTGTTGACCTGTGAGCCACATCTGGCCTTCACACCTCTCACATCATGTCACTTTCTCAGCTGCACACGAAGTAACCCGACCAGGGTGGGAAATTAACACCAGCCACTGGCCAAATGTTGATAAACCCTAAGCTGAGGCTTTAAAGTTTGTCTTTGCCACCTGACATTCTGGCAGGGTACAAAGGTTCTGGTCTGAACAATCACTTATTCTGGTAGAGCAGCTTAGTACCCGCTGAGATTTGACATTCGCTAACTAATGTGGCCTAAGAGGGGAGGAAAGTGTAGTTTCCTGTCACAAATAGGACTGCGAGCTTAGGAGGAGACGCTGAGGGCATTGGGAAGGGAGGGGAGGGGGTGGGTTTAGGGTACATTTTAACAGCCTTACCATGCCTGCGTTTACTGTAAACATGCTAGTGGGTTGGATATTATGAGGGAGGCCCCGCTGGAATAGGACAGGCTGTTTACGTGAAGAGATTTAAGTCTGTCAACAGCTAAGTTTAGATGGAGGGCTGCTGTCGAGAGACACTCACTGTTCACTACTGATAGTAAGAAAATGTTTAGCTTAATTTAATTGGATTTTATGTCACATTTGCTACATAAAGGGATGTTTTCTCTCTTAGTTTTCTGATTCTACAAATCGGATTGTCAACATTAGTGCAGTATGAAATGAGATGAGGGGAAATTGGATCATTACAGTAAACTTTTCTTCTAAAAAGTGAGACACAAGCCTTTGAGAAGAAGTTATTTATGTCATACAAGGAGAAAAAGAGAAAACTCCAGCGGTTTAGAGGTAATAATAGTATTAATAGTAATAATTTGTCTTGTCAAACTTAAAGCAGGAACATTGAGCAGCATTTTGAATGTCTTTAATTGAAATTATTTATCAGTGAAACCTTTATAATTGCCGCTGCTCTTGTGTAAAAAATAAAAACTAAGGCAGGTTTACTGGTTTACCCAGCCACCATTTTATGCAAAGGCAGCTTATATGACATAATGGAAGCCACTATTGAAATGCAAACGCACTCTTGGCCTATCTCCAACCATAAAACATGTTTAACGGTATGAGCAGCAGCTTGTCTTTTATCTGATCAGAGTTTAGTAAACCCCCCTTTTAGAAGAGAAAACTAGTTTGGGGATTGTTTTCCAGGAATGTATATTGGTGCCTTCAGTATGTTGGAGGTAAATTAACTTCAGTACGTCTCACCCAGCCTGCATGTGCGTCATTTTTAAACCCAACCACAGATTCTGTAATTTAAGGCCCATTTCTTGTAATTACAGAGTGTATGGAATAAAACTCCCCTAAAACCTATACTCTGCTTCTCTAAATACTCCACCCCACTCTATAAAGCTTTGTGTGAATGACTTGAATTGATACTCGCCACAGTTAGTGGTTTTCATATGTCAGGTAGGACATTCAGTGTGTTTTTATCATGACATGTCAGTCAGTCACCGACGGTTACATAATCAAGACAGCCAGTATCTTGGTTGTGAAGATAGTGTTACCCAATCCATTGTTGATTAAAACAACCTGCCTGTACAATTTCAAACTCCTCCCACTATGGAGACCAAACTGGAGACTGTCATTTTAAAACCGTCTGCATTTTAACATGAGATACGCAGCCTCAACAGTCGGGGAGTTGCTACTTTCAACTTCCTTACTGCTGAGAGTTTATAATATTGTAAATCCATGATTTTAGTCTTGCACATTATTCACACAGGACTAATTTTGACCTTGGATGATTACGGTGATTAGTAATAATTGCAGCTTTGGCCTGTGATTACAATTCTCTGTGTCTACAGTGTTAAAGCGAAAATGACAGACTGGTTACGGTGAAGACAGCCTGTCCCCTGATAATTCTAACTCCCATGCAAATCTGACTCAGTGATTTCAGCCTTAATTTATATTTGGAGGGTGCCATTTGTCTTCTGCTTCTTCTTTTTCTTCTGAAACATTTGTGGTTTCTCCTTGTCGTGTGAAAAGGAGATGGTAGTTAAATCTACAGACCACAGTTTTTTGAAATGCATTTTCAGTGCAAACTTTCACATTATCTTGCTCTATCAGGAGGTTAAAAGTTGTTAAATGCTGACATTATATTGTAATATCTGTAAGTGAGGAGTCATACAAGTCATAAGCTATGTTGTAACTTATTGCACGCATAGCAGAAATAGCACTATAAGATGACTAAAATAACACCAAAAAAAGTCAGTATGATTCAACTTTCAGGGCTAGAAAAACCTGTCACCCAACCACACAAACATTTATAACATTAAAAAATGAATTATGCATTAATGGTGAGTATCCAGCAGCTGCAGTTGTGGCAGCAGTGTAAAAAATACATAATTCTCATTTAACAGCAGATTAAGTTGTGACGTACGTTTTTTTTTTTTTTTCCAGTATTTAGTTCATCATGAAAGTCTGCGACTACAGACTGTATTTTCTTTAAGAATTACAAATGGTTGGCATAAAAATGGATCAAATATTGAAAAGGAAACATATTTTAAACTGGTTAAGGCCACAGCATGAGAGCAAAACATATGTTCAAAAGTGTAAAGGGCAGACAAAAGTTGTATGCAGCAGTGTGGCCCCTTAACCAGCAATGATCATATTGTTTCTCCTTTCTACATGAAGACAATAAGTTACACTTCCATGTGGAGTTGAATCGGGTGCAGGCTGAGTGTTTCGAGGGTGGGGAGGAAGGGGTTAAAGCTGTACAGTTTATTTTGGGCAGGTGGGTGGAGGCTGTTGGAATGTGCCTGAGGGTGGGTGATAATGTGGCCACTAGGAACCCCAGATCCTCAGCAGAAACCTGGCGTGCCTCTATCAGTCTGCAGCAGTTGGAGCTCTTCAAACTGAGAACTGTCCCATCTTATGTTCAAGTTATGTCTCGCCAAAATATATCATGTATAATGCCTCTGGGGGATCACAACGGCAAACGGTTCCTGATCTAGTCCTGCGGGAAAAAACCTCTCCGGGAACAAACTTTAGGTTGTAAGGAGAAAAATAACTTGAGCAAACCTTTAGGAGAGGAAATTCAAAAGACAGATCTCTCTTCTCACATGACAGGGGATTTAATAGGTTGGGGAAACGGCAGATAGAAAGGTGAAAGGAAAGTTGTGACAAAACACAGCGAAATCTATCAGCAGGCTAATAACAGATGTCGTGAATCTGCTTTAAAGAACATCAGTAATATAAGTCGGTTCAGTGAGTCCTTCCTCACAGTTACGTAGGTCCAAGGTGCCGTGTAGGTGAGGAAACAAACCCAACTTTTAGGTGAGGTTTTGCCCCCAGGTTGTGTGTGGCTAAGACGTCTGCATTCCTGGTGGATCACCCAGCCACCTACGTCTCTCTGAGCTGAAAGGTCAGACTAAATCAAGCCAGGAGTTGCTGTCTGTTATCCTGCCTGATTACTCTGTGGTTGAGTGAATTAATAAAAATATTCAAGGCACTTTTCCAACAGTGTCATATCTGTCTGTTGCAGAGCGCTGTCGAATTAAATAAAGGCCATGATTTGTGCAGATATCAAATTATGCCCACATCATTGGATTATTTTGTAATTGAAACTGATTTGCTTTGCTGGTGGAGTGCCATTTCAACTGGGTTATTTCAGTGATACCAATGCAACCCTCCCCCATACATCTGCCCTTTAAAATATCCATATCAATATCACACTTTGCATTGCGCACTGCATTTTTATTTCCAGGAAACGTTCACACTCCTTTTTAAAGTTAATGATACAAGCGCTATCCTACAGCCAATAGGCTTGCATGCATCTGTTCCACCAGTCAAAGGCTGGAAAGGTTTGCAATGAAATGTATTTTCTCATCCGCAGTGATCTCTAGCCACGCAGATACTGTAGCTGTTTAAACGCCAGGAGGTTTGTAGACCGTCCAGAGTATTGGGGGCATTGCTTTGATAAACAATGTGAGCTTTTAATGTAATTTTCACTGCTTTGAGCACCTTAAACTAAACCCATTTACTTCCATTGTATTTGGGAAGCAGAGAAGAGACGGATATCTTAAAACCTATCAGAAAACCTAAAGAAAATTCTATTTTTATTCACTTTTCTGTTCACTTTTTTTACTTCATTTCACCTTTTGCCAGTTGGTTATTTTGTCCATAAACATGGTAGCGCTTTGACCCCCAGAGCAGCTCCTAATTCACAAAATATTCATGGACGTACAGTTACAATCTGTTTTCATTGATGGGTTGTCTCTTCAATGCTATGGTATACATTCATATAACTGCCCCACTCCGCTGCACCCTTTTATAAACAATATCCTCCTCAGGCCAGAAATCATCCAGAGGCCATGTAGGGCCTTTGAAGTCTCCTCTCCTGTGTCTCTGTCTGCGTTAAACACCAGCAGCTGGGCAGATGGAGCCCAGATGGACAGTAAAGTAGGGATGTCTTTAAAAATTCATGGCACTCAACGTGATCAGGCCGAATGGAGGGGTGATGGCATTAAACATTAAATTGCTCACACACACACACACACACACACACACACACACACACACACTCATTGGGAGTGGGGGGAGGGGCTGTTAGTGACTACAGGAAGTGTAGCACGAATGAGAGCCAATTGGGAGCGACACTTATTGGGATTGCCCGTCAGGTTTCTGCTGATACAGCTGTCTGATAAGTGCTCGCTGGGTTTATATTCCTCTGTAGCTTGGTCCAGGCCTTTTGATCTCCCTTAAGGTTGTATGAATAGGCCGGAGCTTGTTGTTTTTGCGTTTTATATGAAGTTGTGCATTTTCACAGCTGTTAAAAACTACTGGAAATCTGCTGGGAGCAGCTGTCCCTC